TGCCATTCCATTATTTTCAGTCTGAATAAAATACTGGTTGCTTGTCACCGATACTTAAACATTTCAGTAAACGTACACACACGATGAACATAAATTGTCTTTCTTTTTCTTAGGAATTATTACTATCGGAAACTTCTAATTATTGAAACAACGAAGAAAATGGTACGGCAAGCGGTTAACAATCTGCCGAAGATCTTTGTTAATAATCTTGCTCGATACGATGAACTTCGACGCGATGCAAAATAAAGCAATTTCTTCCCAATTCGCGCTCAGATTGCGCTAAAAAATCTGGGAATTTGCGCTCAATTTGGGAAGAGGAAATTATACGGTCTAGCTAGTCTTCTCATTATTTATTTACTTTCTCGTCCCTGATTCAAAGTGACGCGTGTAGCACGTCATTTCAGGGCAAGAGATTAAATCGCGATAAATAATTCATTGATTAAACGAAGAATATAGATGGTTTTTCTCGGACGATATCGAAAACTTTCGGCCGGTTATCGCGCATTGTTCATAAAGCGGGAGGAAAATGGTAGTTCGTGAAAGACGATCGGCCGCGCGCAATTCTTTAGCGCTGTCCCGCGGGAATCGACGTTTCATTAATTGGCAGGGCCCGCTAGTAAATCAAGGCGAGCGCTCGTTCTCGCGCCGACGGGATAACCGATAAGGGGCCGGGCTTTACGCGATCGTTATTGTTACTTGACCCGGCCCGGCCGATAAAATCGTGGCGATGATTAATTAAAGCGGAAAATTAATTATCTAGGAGCAGGTCGTTTCGTTCCCACTTGCCGCGGTTAACTATAAACGTCGGAGTTTAAATTACTTCCTCGCCTCGGCCGGCGAGCGCGCCGAGATCCTTCGCTGAGGAATCGTTTAATTCATAGATACCGATTCGAACTAGTCATATGAATGATGATTAGCGCCGTCGGCTCGGCGTAAAAACCGCGCAAGACGTATTATCCAATTGAAATGCTCGCGGGAGGGAGGACTTTCTAGCCGCCGAAGAGAATTCGCGTCGACGAAGGAGAGTGGGATCCATCGACGCGTTTAATGTCACGGAACGATCCGGCTGCCCGTTGCTAGAAACTGTAAATCGTGATTGCTCGAAAGGTAAGGGAATAACACATCGGCTGGACGCGATCGTTTCGATAGAACCGAACGTGGAATTAAAAAGGTACGATCGCAGCGAATGGGTCGTTAACACGTTCGCGACCAGCGTCACCTGGCGTACACGATTATATTTATAGTATTTATCGCATTAAATACATCGTATCCTCTTATAAATTACGATTAAAATGTCGTCAAAGGGAGGCTATAAATTCCCCGGATATCGCATGCTACAGATGTCACAATTTTAAATAATTATATTCACAAAGTTCGCTCAATGTTCTTTACGCGAAATACAAAATCGTCGATAAAAATGTTGAATTTAAAAAATTGTTCACGTTTCAGCCGTTGCTCGGAAGCTTCTTTACCCCATTAACCCCCATTAACCCTCGAAAAACTGCTTTATATTTAGAAATAATTGTTTTATCGAAAATAAAAGACTGATGTATCTTCGAAAAAACACGATGAAATATAATATAATATTTATTATATACCCGATTATGTATTTTATTTATTTACCCGAACGAATAAGAATAATTTATTTACCCAAAGTCGGAGAAACGGGGTAGAAATCTGCCCCGCAAATGTTCTTGCAAGTTGAATCATTTTTTAACGAAATGTTTCCCTTGTACCGACTTTTGTCGAACTACTTACGAAAATTGCAAATCGTCACAGAGACCCTTATTCGCCCCTATAGGGATAGGGGTTATTTTGTTATAAATTAGCATCGAGAAACAGTGACCATTTTAAATACCTTCATTGCAACGGAACCACGATAGGAGTTCGCATTTAACCGAACATCTGTACCATGCAAATTCGAGGATAATGCAGTAAATTTGTCCAGTAATTTTACTCAAACGGTTTGCCTGCATGCATACGGACACATGTATTTGAATTTTTACAGAGACGTGTAAATACATATACATACATTCTAATCGACTATAATGTATGCGGTAGTACAGTAAATTCTCTCCAATTGACTCTCAACTTGTAAACAAAAATGGTTAATTTGGGACACGATTATCCAAGCCTCGCGACTCGTTTTTATAATCGCCGAGAGATCGTCAACATGTACAAAAACAAGCCGCGCGAGGCTGGAATAACCGTGCCTTCTCTTCCCAAAATCTCCATTTACCTGTCCAAGATAAATTTAACGTTTCAAATAAACTGAATTCACGATCGGGGCCCTGAAACCGGGGTGTATAACGTAAATACGCGCGTACTCGAAAGCAGCCCCGCATTCGCCCGCTGCGTGACGCCGAGTCGCTAACTGTTCGGTGTACACGAACAGTCGGAGATATAACAAATGTCTCGGCAGCTCGGCGTACATCCAGCTGGAGCGTTCAATAGGGAACTACATACGCCGCCCGTATCTAATTAAAAAGCTCCCGGGAGGGGGTGGCGTAGCAGTATCCTCGAGGAATTCGCGCGTGGCCGCGCAGAAAATTGCGTACACGCGCGTACCGGCGGAGCCGTGGCCGCGAAACATCGAGCAACAAGAATCCGCGACACATCGGTGTACCGCTTGCGTTCGATACGAAATAAACGAAATCCGTGTACACGCGATCGTCTCAGGTTATATTCGCCGGTATCGCCGCCCGCGCCGCATCCCGAGAATGAACGATTACTAAATTACAACGCACCCTTAGATACGATCGGGCCGGCCATAATTGCAGGACTATTCATACATTATTGGCTCGTATATTATTTGACGCGATTCAATAACTCCGGGCCCGGGACGGCCGATGCTATCTCTCCGTCGTTAAGCCGCATTCGCAATATCGATCGGACCTGATTAATGGCCGCGTTTATGCCGGTCATTTTTTCCGACGATTATTAACGGGCCGAAATTGAATGCGCGCCCGGGTCTGTCGCGTCGCTCGCGCGCGCGGGGACCACGCGCGAAAACAAGGGACACAAGGGTCGGTCCCTACTTTCCTTCCCGAAGGAAGATCCATCTTCGTATGTGTGTTTAAAGCGACCGCGATAGCCGAGCGACCGGGAACGCCTCGCCGCGCAACCATAAGCCGTAATTCATCTCCGGGCCTCCAAATGAAAAAGTCCCGCTACGCTCGGTCTCCCCGTTCCCGCGTATTCGCGTCGATTCAACTTTCTTTCGTAAATTAATACCGATTCCGATCTTTCCGAGATGAATTCTTTATTGGCCGATGGGACGAGTAAAGCCTAGAGTTGCGTCTCAAACTTATTAATGACAAATTCGGATGGTTTCCATAGTTAGAATTCTTAGATCCGATCTTTAACGTCGTTCGAGGATCCTCGTCGACTTGTTCCGACGCGGGGGACCTTCCTATATTAATCAGGAAATTGAACATTCCGTGGGTTCGATTCTTGGAAGCATCGACGACCATTTTGAACATTCATTTCTGATAAATTGATTTTATTAATTTTATTAATTGATTTTAGCGAAACGGTACAAGTCGAAAATTAAACTGAAGATTTCAATGGGGAATTTAAGGACATTGTTATACAGGGTGTCCCAAAAATGTCTCGCAAACCGGAAATGAGAGGTTCCTGGGATCATTTGAAGTAACTTTTTCCTTAGCGAAAATGCAACTCGTGGCTTCGTTTACGAATTATTAACGAAAAACACTGACCAATGAGAGGCGAGCTCGCCTAGCGCTTGGCAGCCGAGCCAATGAGCGCACGAAGCCCCGTTCCGTTCATTGGCTTGGCCGCCTTGCGCCAGGATATCTCACCTCTCATTGGTCGTAAACAAAGCCGTGGGTTACATTATCGCCAAAGACAAACTTACTTCAAATTACCTCAGGAACCTCCCATTCTCGGATTGCGAGACATTTTTGGGACACCCTGTATTATTTGAAACTTATTACTAGACTGCAGATCTTTGTGCGAAATACACAAGCGTATTTGCGCGTCTTCTTTAATTGCAGAATGCATAAACAACGCGGACATTAATTTCGTTTCTTAATCAATTTAATAAGTTGAACATATAATGCAACAGTATTTCTAAATTCCTTAAGTTTTCACCGTTTTGTATCGGACCTAATCATACTTGTCGTAAATGCATAAAAAAATCCGCAGCCTGCGTATTACAATTACTAAAAGGGGAAAGAAATTTCCATCCAAAATATGTATTTCACGATTAACTTAGCCAGTTTTTATTTCGTTAAAAAATCCGCGATCTACCGATAAATCACAAACGACGATTCACTGCATAACGAACATTCGACCGCTTGCTGTTTTTAAATTATTATATTCTAAATTATTGCGTCCGCTTCGCACATCCAATACGACGACGAGATTATAAATGAATCGAGGCGATCAAACGGCACGATTTCAATTTTACCGTCAATCGCGGCAGCAAGATATCCCGCGATTTCAACGAAATTGCTTGTACGCCCTAATGAATCGAAAAGAATCACGACACCAAGAATTGATACGTAACTCGACCCACGAAATCTGCCCGACCGACCACGGGAGCGCGGCGAAAGCAGAGCCAGCCGGCGCGGAAGAGGGCCCGATCATTCGTCGTGTAGCACTTAATCTCTCTGGAACTCGTACAAGTCGCGAACACGCGGAAAGTTGAATAATCGCGAAAGAGGTACGAACATCGACTGGCACGAAAATAATGTATTTCACACGCGTCGGGCCAGAACGTCGGGGCTCTCGCGTGGGTACGGTCAGAAATATACGAACAATCCCGCGCGATGTACCTGCGCTCCCGGGGCGACTACCTGCGGCTAATTTACAGCGGAGCGCGCGGATAACTTCCGTCGTTATTCCCCTCGCCCCCCCCGTCGAATTTCCCGCGGTTCGCCGCCTCCTCCTCGCCCCGGGTTCTGCTAACGGAGTGCCCGATTAGCCTGAAATACCTGGCTCCGTTCGAACGTGAAAGGAGACCCGTTGTTGCGTAGGTCGATCCGGATCTGCATAAGAGCGAAACACCGGCCGGGGTCTACCTGTTTCAGTCGACTGCTGCCGAGCAACACCGACCACCTTGACGGTCCTGGAGAACGAAGGCCGGCTGCGGAGAGGCACCTCGAGGAGCTGTGGAACGTCTCTACTTCGGGCTCCCAATTAGCGCCCTAAAAGGTTCGCGCGCGAGACTTAAATTCGGTAATCGAATTGCCCCGATGTTGCCGTGAAGTTAACGAACTTATCGTTACAGGACCGACGCCATGGACGACATCGAGGTCGCCGAGAGGAAGGACTCCGACATCGACAGTGACCCTTGCGAGGTAAATTAACACTTTATCTTCCGGTCGTGGTTGAGGCTGCCACTCAGTAAGGACTGGCTTAGTCGCGCGCGCATTTGCTCCCAGTACCGGCTAAATTTTCGCTATTCATTGTGTTGTGCTTATTCCTTTAAAAATAATAATAAATAATAATATAATTATTATAATTATAATTCATAAGGATATGGGGAGGTCAGCATACAGGAGGTCAGCTACTAACAAAACAGTAAAGAAGCGAAAACCGTCGATAGCTAAAAGTCGATTAATAGGCTATCGGTCGATAAGCATTGGCAATCGAAAAGCCGATTAATAGGCTAGCGATCGATAAACATTGGCAATCGAAAAGCCGATAAATAGGCTAGCGGTCGATAAAGTGTTAAACGCGAACGCCGCACCGATTGAAACTGCCGTGCTTGTTTCGTCTAGGGTAAGCGTGTCGATTACTGCGACCTGCGACGTCCGAATTTTTCGACAAATTAAGCGATTCATTTTATTTATATCGTACTCGTTGAAACATTTCAATTACACGTATGCGGTGTTTTTTATATAAGTACGAACTTATTATAGTTATATATTTTGCATCTTTATAAAACACAAAATATTTAACAAAATGGACGAAATAGTTTTTGAGCGAGTTACCGTGCCCTTAAGAAGATGAAATATTAATTTGTGCGCCAATTTCTGTACAGTGATCCAATTACTGTGCTTCGACTAATGCGATAAATAGTACGGAAATATTCCATAGTTAATTATCTAGCACAATTTATTATTCATATATATGTTTCAATATCTACGATATTATTTTTAAAAAGTGAGACAATACACACGTTTCACTGATCAAAAAATTATAGTTAGTTCATAGTTCGTAGTTCATAGTTCATTTGAAATGTTAGCTCATTTTGCCGACACTCGAATTGATATTTATTGGATATTCGAAAGACGTGGTATTTGATCGAATAATCGCAGCCAGAACATGTACAGATGTTCTTGGACGAGTGATTAGAAAAAGATCGCCGTGGCAAGTTATTGGAGCTAATAATTGACAAAGTGTTTACTATTCTCATTGAAAACAAATAGATTCCATATCAGCTGGTTTTATAGCCTTATAAAATAGGCAACGGCCATATCACACTTCAAACAACCGATTCTCGTCCGATCATCGAAGTTAAACAGTGTTGAGCGTGGTTAGTACTTGGATGGGTGACCGCTTGGGAATACCACGTGCTGTTGTCTCACTTTCTTTTTTCTTTTTCTATATCAAACTTTCTTTTTTCAATCATCATACTCCCAGCAATCGAAACATACGAATGTGAGAATAGCAAGGCATGATCCTTCGAGCCTCGCGGCTCGCCTCTCATTGGTCAGCGTTTTTCGTTAACACGTTCCCTGCCAGACCGTTTTTTGAAGACTTTCCGTTCAAGCCGCGTGGGGCGTATGCGCCCCACGCTTTACATTTGTATTATTTTGTTTCTGGCGTATGCTTTACAATAATTAAAATAGTGCAAAAATCATAATTATCAAGGAAAGGTTGTATAGTTTAACATGCATAACACAGCAAACCAATAAATTTATTTTTCTAGGAATTACTTTAACAAATACCTGGCTGATCATTATTATGCCAAGCGAGTTGCATCCTCACATATAATTTTTTTTATCATGCCTATATTAGTTTAAAATATAACATTTTAGTTAAATTCAAGATTGTATGCGATTACAAAGGGATGATACGATGAACTTTGTTAAAACATGGCAAACATAAGTGTGGTTTATCCACACAACTATCGCAGAATGTTACAACTTTTACAGTACTATAGAACTATAAATCAATCCCAGCTTCAGTGAAGCAGTAAGTATTGTGTCAACGACACGCGAATAAATGACTGATCGGAATAAGAGAAATGCAGTTAAAACAAGTTACAGTAAAGAAAAATTGCCCATCACGCTGCGTGGGGCGTATACGCCCCACGATTAAATGAGGGCATCAGCAATAGTATTAAGATGTCCATAATTGACTGCATAATGAATTTTTAAAAAATTCTTCATTTTACAATGATAATACCAAATGGCTTGAACGGAAAGTTCAGCGTGGGGCGTATA